TAGCCGCTGGGTGTCATATGGATGAAGCGGAGCAAGGGGGGGTTGGGAGGGTGCTCGAGAATGGCACAGACGAACTTGGTGACCATGTGGAGTGACGCAAATCAGAACAGGCAAATAGACAGGAAGGCAGGCGGACAGACTGAACAGCTGGTAGGTTGGCACACAGACAGACAGACTAGCAGACAGACACTTTACCAGACAGACAGGTTCATATTTGGGATAACAGAGTGCTTGAAGTTATGTAAGCAGGGGCTTAAAGACTCAAAAATATTTCAGCTGCAGTAGATGGTCACCAAGACATGTTATTTTATATTACTGTTAAATATAGGCCGCTGCATTGCTCTTGTTCTATACTGGATCAAATTGTTGGGTTGGACACATAAACATGGGAAAATAGGCTCCAAGTTAGGAGGAAGTTACATTTTAAGCTGAGCATTATTCAAACTTGTTCGTGGAAGCATGATTTTTGAGACCCTGCTTTCAATTCAGTGACCGAATGACAGCCAAAAATAAATGTTTCACGTTAACAATGGCTGAACGGTCCATTGACTGACTTTCCATTGCAGTTTCCTGTGTAAATCACACACTTACATGTAGACAGGATGATTTGCATCAATGATTTTGCCACATGAGCATGCTCCCCATTGTCTCCCATTCTGTTACATGCACACACATGAACTTCCTGTAACCTGTTGTTGACCCAATCACGGGACACAAAGAAAGTAAGGAGGTATTTGAATAGATTTTCCCATCCCCTTCAGGAATCTAGTCCTCCAAGTTGCTTAAAATTGCCATTTCTCTTCCGTAGGTCAAGATGTTCGAGAAGAAAGATGGACTGAGAGTGAAAAAGAAGAGAAGAGGCGGATCAAGGGGCCACTGCAAGTCAAGGCTGACTCATAGGGATTGTAGGGCGGAGGTTTCATTGCTGTCTTGTGTTTGGTTGTTTCTGGGTTGTGTTTTTCTTTATACTGGGCCTGTAGAAGCTTCTCCACAACACACACACACACACACACACACACACACAAACACACACACGCACACACGCACACACACACACACACACACACACACACACACACACACACACACACACAAACATACACAAGCACATGCGTAAACATAACCTAAACACACATGCATGCTCTGGGGACGCCTCCTGAGGCAGGTGGCGAGAAATGAGCAGAGAAAGGCATCCATTCGCTTGGCGCTGAATTATTCAACCTGTGATTAATTATAATTTGGCCTCACAAAGGCAGGGGCTGGGGGAATTCCTCTGTTGGTCTGAACTTATTGTGTTTTTCCTTCCCGTGCAGGCCGATGTCGGGGCGGAGCAGCGACCTAACAGAGGTACTGAATGCCTGCACGTCTAACATGGGCCGTCACTGTTGGAGCTGTTGCATAACATGAAAGTCTTTAATTTGGTAAAAATGCAACAAGATTTTAACACACTTTCAGGGTAAATAAATGTGGACATTGGGCTTAGTAGTTACTGGATTTGCAAGTTTCATGCTTGTAAGAAAGGCCACAATAAAGAGAAAAAGACAAATGGATAACACCACTATAGCTTTCCTCCTTTTTTCCGCTCTGAAATGTTATCGGTTGCCAATATAAGGACATGTGATCATGTTTTTCTTTTATATTTCTCACATTTCAAATTCCTTCTTTACCCTGAACCGATTGTAAGTGATTACCAGTGAAATATATACTCCTGTAAGGCGTGGTCTCTATTTCTTGAAATTATAAGTTGTTCGTACACTTCGTACAGTTTGTACTTACTGATTTTTGGCAGTGTAGGGTTGTCTCAAAACAAAAACTGTTTTTGTGCGTTAATGTTAAAAAAGTTATTAATTTTTCTCATACTGCCTGTGCTGTAGCACCTCTTTTCACCATCTGTCTGAAACCAGAGCCCAGTCTGCTCTGATTGGTTAGCTGGCTGGCTCTGTTGTGATTGGGCAATCGCTTAGAGATGTCCTGCCCATTGGCCTATCACGTACAATAAGTTGGAGCGCTAGCCAATAGAAGCGCGAGTGTTACATGTTCCATTACACGGAAGTAAACAAAGGAGTCAATTTCAGGCGTTTCAGGTCCTTTGGGATTCAAGCCTTTGCAGAACATTTACATGCACAATAACCTATACAACAAACAGGAAAGGGAAAACCCCAGAAAGCATAATAGAAAGTTTGGTGAAAGTTAAAGATCACCAGTATGTGCTGTCTTTAGACCCTGTTGACAAATGAATGTGTCTCCCTTTAAATGATCTGATAGCTGGCCATAATTGTTATTACACAGAGCTGGTCACATTCTGTGATTCGGAGCAACCAGTGTACCACCTAACTACAGCTGCTTTGTAATTGGAGTCTGAGGTGTAGGAGTGCCAGGGAAAGTGGGATGCCCTCGGGTCATTTAGGTGTCAGAGTTGAAATGAATAATAATAACCAATCCCCTTTTAGCTAGCAATCAGCTAAACATCTCATCAAGACTGAAGCCCTATGCGAAACGTGAAATGTACAGTAGAGGCTCTCTATGCAGAGCAGCGATTTGGCACTGGTGACTGCTGCTTAAGCCTCCCATGTGTTAACCAAAAACGCCCTTGCTTCACTCCTCACTTCTGTATCCACATCCAAAACAGTACATTCTTTTTGTATTTATTCAAAAGCAATAGATCATGTATTTTTGTTGCTGAGAAAGCAAATTCTGAAAAGTGAACCTCATAGCTGTCTGTCGTGTGGGCGGTCTATGACCAGACTAAATAACTATAATATCAGTAAATTACTGTAAATTAATAAATACACTAACTATGAACTCAGTCAGTGATCATCATAGGGAAAACACCCACCAATATCAACACAAATCAATAAGGGTTTCAGAGAACCACCTTATTTCTTTTAATGGCTCAGTTAGTTTGATAGTACTCATGATGTATATTGTAAACATTTCTTGAGCAGTTTCAAGAGCCATCTCCTTTTACTGTAAGTAAGGGTTAAGAGTTGATGATATTTTCCCCGTGTCCAATGACCTGTATAGATGACTCAAATCAACATCAGGGCCACGTGTGTTAAGTGAGTACCTTGATATAGAGGTTTAAACGGACAAGTGAGCAGAAAACTATCTGACACTTGTCACAACCCCATATGTCCGGTGGATTGTAAGGATCATAATGGGTCATTAGATTTGTTGTCAAAGGGTCCCAAACAAATTGTCCCTCTCTGTGTTGGGAGATGTGTAGTTAACCTGGTGTAAGTGGAACTATACCATATTTTACTGCATCCAGTAGCATGAGAAATGTGTAGCCTAATGTTGTTAGGCTACCTGAAGTCTAATTCATGCTTATTTAGATGTCATTTTAAACGTGTACCCACATGGTCGCATACGGTCTTGGCAACGCTTGGATAGACTCAAGATAAAAGTGTTCCATCGATCCTAAAGGTGTTGCTGTCAAGAATTGTATACAAATTGTGCAAGAGGCTTGGAATTATCATTTAGTATTTCATAAACTGTAAGTCAGTCACAGCACATCAACGTTTTGCACATGGTTGCAGTTTTGCTCACATCTGTAAAGTTGATATAATTGTTGTTTCAAGCAACAACAAAAAAGCAATGTTGACTGTAATGGTAAAAAAAACACCAGATTCATTTCAATTAAAAAAAGATGACGCATTACAAACATAGCCAGTTGTATAAAATCGTATTTACTTCCTGTATCCTTAGTGGGCACGGTCTCATTTGGCTATTTATATCTTATGTTGCTCAAATTTGATATGTACACACCTAAAAAACACATTTGACATTCTGAAGATTAGTTAGTTAGTTACTAGTTAGTTAGTGTGTTAGCGAACGTTTGCTAATTAATGAAAGCAGAAGATTTTTTATTGTCTGTACGGAAGATATGTAGCTTATGGAAAATGGGTCTAATATTTACTTTAGTGACTATGGGGTCACATAATTGGTCCTAATCTGTGTTTGAGTTCACTCCCTTTAGAGATAATCGATGTAGACCTGCCGCTAGTCTCATAAAGATGCCGGTGCTGCCCATGTGAAAAATATATAGGAAATTGTCTCTCAGTGTGTATCCTTTCTAAATAAGACATATTACATGACTGACGCCCTGCAAGGCCGCCGTTTGAGGAAGAAACCCGCCAGCAACTCCGTCACATGTTCGAATATGTTGCAGAAAATTCTTGCTAATTTAGTAAACATAGGCTACGGGTATTTCACACATTTTTAAGTAATTTTGAACTGAGCCTAAGCTAATTCATTCACGTGGTACTTAACCACCATGACTCTTAATTTAAAACAAATCCTGAAATTACCCCTGCTTTAAATGAGTAGCCGTTGCCTGTGGCCATACTAAACATCATAATGTGTTGGTTGACCATAACAATGACAGTTTTCTTTACCTACTAAGGTGCAGTAATTATTTAGTGATTATGACAAAACAATGTTTGCTACATCGAGACCACCTCACACTATGGGAAATAATAAGCTACCTTCCATAGGATGGTGTGCAATCCTGTGAAAAAATGAGAGTAGTTTCCTACATTTTTGATTCAAAGTCTCGAAACCAAATTGGAGTCGAAGTCCTGGAATGTCTTTTTAGGGGAAAAACATAACGACTATTGCAAGCCTCCCAAAACGAGCCGGCTGCAGTCGTTATAAGTGCAGAGCCTGTACCCGGCATGCCTTTCCCCTATCTTCCCCCCTTTTCTCTCCTCATGTTTCTGAGGTCAGTAAACAAGAAGTGTGTGTTTCCCTTTAAGGAGCCCCCACCGTTTGCACAGGGGAGGGAGGAGGAGCAGGTCTGCGGAACAGCGGCTGAGGAGGGAAAAAAAATCCAACAGAGGACGGTTTCAAGTCCCCCCAACAGAAACTGTGCCTGATTTGTGGCCAATGTTGGAGATGTAAAAAAAAAAAAAAAAAAAAATAGAAGAGAAAGAGAGGGAGGGAGAGGAGAGAGAAGGAGGAGGGAGGAGGAGGGGGAGGAGGAGAAGGGGGGGAGGAAAAACACTAAAGGGGTAGCTATGGAGATGGAGCGTTTTCCTGGCTGCTTTCTTTGACAGGTGTTGAGTGGGGCAAAAGTCTTAAAACAGAATCCAGCATGTACGCCAAAGGTAAAGGAGCTGTCGTCCCTTCCGATAACCAAGCGAGAGAAAAGTAAGTGAATTATGCGCTAATATGTGACACTTTACCTGCTTATCATGCACAGGCGTGTGGGACAGGGAAGGGGAGTCCAACTTTCAAAACTAGGTAATTTAAAAGCAGTGTACTGTACTAAAGTGCGCTCGTGCCTGCGTGTCCCCCTCCCCTCCTACCACCTTAGAGGTGCGTCTCTTAAACTTTTTTAAATGTTTACCTTTTGTTTGCACTTTCGCGTTTTTCTTGCATGGGATACTTACCAATAGCGTGTCTTCGTGCAAGGCGCGTACACTTATTCTGTAACTTGGTGCAGCATTTTGACTGCAACAATATATTTTATGTTTCGCTTCTGCAGCGTTGCAAGTTGAAAAAGCGTTTAATTTAGGGTTAAACATGTTCCTGTGTGATCGTCCCTGTGCGGACTGCTGCTACTGCTGCTGCTCGGTCTTTTTTTTATCTTAAACTTTAGGAGATGAAGCTGCTGCATGGTTGGATTATTGTGTGTTTTAGAAATATAAACGGGTAGATTGCTCGGGACATTTGATGTATGTTTTTAACGTGAAGCCGGTAGTATCTAAACCTGGCGATGTAGGAAAAGTTTGGTCCCATTCAGAGATCATACAGCGGTGGTAAACTTTTTAGCATCCGTTCACATGGAGGATAGTCATTCTACAAGGAGCATTTATCTGATAATATTTATGATTTATATTATAAGACCTATTGATAAATGTAGTAAGTTGTCGCATCTACGCGAAATCTTCCTTATTGTGTCTGAAAATAATGCAAAAATAATGTTTTTGTGTGTTTTTAAATATGGGTTATTTCTATCATGCTCTTTGCTAAATTTGGTGTTAAACGTTTTTTTTTAACATACGAGTCATATCAGTGCATGAATTAGTGTTTTTCTGTATAAGACTATGTTACTTTTAAATGTCACTGTCCCTTGACTGAAGGCTGCTCCTCATGCCTGCTCTTCATATCGACGCTGCCTCTAATATTCCTGTATGGATCCATTCAAAGATGTAAACCTGTATTGCAAACCCACACTTTAAAAATTACTCAATCAATTGGATCAAAATAATCTATTTTAAAGGATTAAACAGTCTGAGGTGAGAGGTATAGTTTCCCTGTTGGGATGCAATTGTGATCTAAAAACACTGTCCAGTCCTGAGAGGCTGTGTTACACCGCTCCTCATACATCTGTAATAGAAACAACATTTCTTTGGAGACTCTTTTGTATTTTTTGATGCATTGCTGTGTCACATTCAATTGATTAATCTTTCTAGAGATGTGGCTCGCTTATGTGCTTAGTGTAAGCTCCCTCCAATATGACTTTGTACACTTCTAGTGCCACAAGCGTTTAATTTCACTCAGAATTCACATCCGATTATTGGAAAATGTAGAAGCTCCGTGTGTGTGTCTGTGTTGAGGTGGAGGAGTGAATCCTAAATGAAAACAGTCCCATGTGGTTTGGTGAACAGCAGGCAGAGTGACCTTTGAACCAGCATATGATGCTTTAATATTGCATATGAACCATCAGCAGACGTTAGGCTGCTTCCGCACCTGTTTGTGTGCCTTGGCTGCGTTGCTTTATTTACAACGAGCAGGGGATGATTTAAATGCTGTGTTTTCCGACTGTTTTTAGTTGCACTTGCTTGCTCAGGGAGTGTGGATTATGTTCCATGTGTTATTGGGAGTGAAATCAGTGCAGAGGCAGCATGTATTTCAAATGATAGTGTAGGAGGAGGATTAATAATTGAACTCATAAGAAATACAAGTCTTTTGGGGGCTGGCAATGATGAATCCTCCTGTGTTAAGGCTGCTTGTGAAAAACAAAACTCTGGATTTGTGTAGAAACCGCACAGGAAATATCATTTAATCCCATGTATCCAGTGTGTGTGTGTGTGTGGGGGGGGGGCACGTCACAGGCCTATAGGTGTTGCACAGACATAATAGACGGCGCTTGCCCTCTCCCCTCACCTGTCTTGTCACCCTAACCCGCCCCGCAGGGCCAACACATGTTTCCTTGTAAATTTGGAGCTCACAACAGCTGCCTGAATGTATCACTGAATTAGCTCATATTCATATTTACATATTCATATCTGTCTTTACATATTCAGATAGTGAATAAAAGGAGCACCCCGGATGGACTTCAGATTGACAGAGTATTGCAGCTGCAGTGCTAAAGGGTTGAATATCAAGTCAAATATTTAAATAATTAAATAAAAATGGATTATAATATATATAAATCTCTCTTTTGGTTTGAGTAAAGTTGGAATCACTTTTGTTCAGCTGCTTGATTAAACTTAAAATAATGACATTACTGTATAGCCACTTTTCATTAAATATATATAAGGTGATTTGTTCCTATGGTTCACACTAAATACTTGCACATATACATAACTGTCTTCGCTCATTTCGGTTTATATGTTAATACTACTTAATGTTTTACTTAATATTATTTTTATTCTTATTCACACTGCATATTAGTTTTTTACTTTTATTCTCCTTATTCTCAAATGTATTCTATGTTTCAATCTTTTTCTTTTGCTGTTATGAACCCTGAAGGTCCCAACAGGGATCAATAATGGTCGCTCATATCTTATTTGATCTAATCTCATTTAATCTTATATTTGTGTATAAGTTATGTGGTAATACTATGCCTTTTTAAGCTTAATATTATGTTTATTTGAGACTTAGACACATCATATTACATAATACACAAAAGTGGTTAAAGAAAAAGAGAATAATTGTAGTATTTGTCCATAGCTTTGTCTATAGTTAAAAGCAATCAGACAGTGAGGGTGTTGGCTTGTGACCACCTGTTGCTACAAGGAAGAAGAGGAAATATTGTGTATTTCCTGCAGAAACTGTAGCTCAAATATTTGTATACACATGCAGTATTTCAAACAGATTTTATTCTTCAACACCATTTGGTTTTGTTAGTAATTGGCCAGATGCTGAAGCTTTTCAGGGAAATTGTGGATCAACCTCCCTCTTAAAGTTTTTTAAACCGCCAAAAGAAACAGAATGTTCATAATCTTTTTTTTCACTGTCTCTTTAAGTCCAAGACAATCTGAAAAAGTTGTAGTAGCACAGATGCTACAAAGTTATCCGTGTTGCTTCATTGTTTCTATTAGCTCCTGATGTTGCAGTCCTATTGCAAGCTGTTATGTCTGTTTTAGTTTGGAGTTGTTATTTGATAAATGTCATCTTGTCTGTACAGATAGGCTCTTATGCCTGCTTATAAGAAAAAGGAAAAAAGCCCCCTTCCAGTGCAGCATGTCCTTCAGCTACCTGAATAGTAAAGAGTAGTTCTGAGGTTTGAATACAACAAATATACAAACTCCAATGTAAGTGTGTACATCACACAGCACAAAACTGCATGTGTACAGTATGTGTTTTTATTTTCTTCAAAAACCTTGAAACCAAGGCTCAAATCCAAAGGGTTTGTTCAGAAATGCAACATAAAACCGTCACTTTTACATACAACAGCCAAGGCTTTGCCTAGTTTAGCTGTATCCAGATCCCACACAGGTAGCAGGCACGTGGGGGGGGGCTCTTTCTTTTGCAACTCCTTGAGAAACATTATTGTGTTCAGACAGTCTGTATACAAATATTATAAAGGCAGAAGGAAGAATTGGTGCCCTTGTGAGCAAAGAAATTAATTACCCTGCACACTTTTTTTCCAGCGTTTAATTTAATTTGAACAGTAATACAACAGCTTCTATATTAATGTCACCTTATTATTCAGTAACTGGTAACTCTTTGAAATACGCACTGATGAATCTGGCTTCCTAATTAAAGGTGCCATTCACAAAACATTAAATAGCTTGATCAAACATCTCATTTTAAAAAATCACGTTCTTCGTTTCTGAAATAATTCTGCTCCCCGGGTTTGTTTCCTAATCCTCTGTGTTTGTTTACAGATATTTCTGTGCGATTTCAAGTGCTGTTGGATTTGTTTGTGAAAATAACTTGAAGTTAATCAGCTTGTTTTGAATACGGGGTTCTTTACATCCTCCGCTCCTCCTCTGGCTCCTCCTTCCTATTTACATGCAGTTTAATAGGGATCTTCAGGTCTGAATGCATGGTTTTGATTCTACACAGATGCCATCTGCATTTGAGTCTTTTGAAAGAAGCATAAAGCGCTACGCACTAACACATGTAGAAACATTGCACTAAAAGTAAAGAAACCCGTGATTTACCCTCGGCACCCTGTGGCTGACTGCTCTCATTCAGATATGTCAACAGTCAATTAATGCTGCCTCTCGTCAGCTGCTCTGGGTGCATCCGCACACATTTGTTAGTTTTCTCACTTGAAATAAAAGAGACGGTATAAATATTGAGGCTCCGTGCCTGAAGTTGTTAATCAGTTTGGCAACAGAGAGCTCAGAGGAGAATTGTGTGCGTCTTGTATTAGCATAAGGAGAAAAGCGTCTGCCTGAACCGACATCAGGTACATAACAATCATGTGTACCTATGATAAACATAGGAATCAACATTATCGGATTATTGTTTGTTATTGTTGTTAAAGCTTCATCATAGTACGGTCCTCAGTAACTGCTGTGGGAGGGGGCTGCTGTGATAGCAAAACTATGTCAGCTATGCCAAAAACAAATCACAAAATACTAAATACTGTCCTTCCTGTAAAACTGAAAATGAACAACTTACACTGGGAGGTTAGAGGACATGTACAGGTGAGTCAGTCGGTAGGTAAATATCACAGAGTCGTGCTGGTAGAAAGGGAGAGGACTAAATGTTTGTGTGTGTGTGTGTGTGACAGTGTGGATTAACCCATGCTAAAGCCATGTGTGTTTACACGCGTGTTGACACTGATTTGTTTTGACAAAGGAACTGCCATAGCAAAGCTAAGTAAATACAAACAGTGTGTGCTGTGGGAATAAGCTGCAGTGAAACGGTGTCACAGGTGTCTCAAACATCACATCTCTCATTCAGTGATCCACACCCTTTTCACATCTATACTGCTTTAAGGTATCAATATTTAATATTGAGGA